GATTTAGATTTACAGTAATTGTTTTTCATGTTTAAATCTGATTTATTCTTGTGTTTAAAGCGTTTGTCATTCCTCTACTTCAGTGTCTCAGACTCATTCAGAAATGATTAATAAATGCTGGATTAATGCACAAGAGAGTTTGGCGAACACGTTTTACACCATTTCAAATATATATTATATGTGCGGCTGTATAAGTCACATACAGCGCTCAGCATAATGGAGGACAGCCTATTCTGAAAACCAAGACTTTCCTCCATTTCTCTGTCAACTCTTGTTCAGGCACATTCAGTCTGGTTTATGGATCTTATTTCAGCTACATTTTTCCCTCTAAAACCTACTAACCACACACAATATTTATTTATAAAACACCAGCATGTACATCAATATTTTCCACATATTATTGTAGTTCAGTTTGTGCTGAACACTAATAAAACACATGTTGGCCAGTTCTGTGTAATAAGTAGCTGAAATAAGCACAGATGTCAGGGCATGTCAAAACATCTCAGGGGCCAAAATCACCTCAGACCCCTGAGGGTTAACTACAGGTATAGTATGAGCAGTGTGAAACACAATTACTGATAAACCATAATTCCTGTTATCTGGGGTTTAGTATCACCCAGGGTTAACATGTTCAAGCATGAAGAGCTCTAATATGAAACTGTCTGACTGTAGTTATTGTAGAGTGGAGAATCATTTACCTCAGTGTCTCCAGTTTACAGTGTTGACTCTTCAGTCCATCAGAGAGAAGCTTCACTCCTGAATCCTGCAGGTCATTGATACTCAGGTCCAGCTCTCTCAGCACACAGTTTAAGGATTGTAGAGCTGAAGACAAACTCCCACAGCACTGAACAGTGAGATTACAGCTCTGTAGCCTGTGTAGAGGACAAACACAATATTGATTGAATATTGTTGATCTGGTGTGTTTAATAGTCTGAAGCACATATGACTGTAGCAGAGATGGCAAAAGTACACACATCCGTTACTCAAGTAGAAGTACAGATACTCATGTTTAAAATGACTCTGGTAAAAGTAGAAGAACTGACTACTCTTTTAAAAAAGTACACTTTTAAAAAAAGTAAAACATAGCAGTTTCAACCACAGTCCAAATACACGCAGTATAGGGGAATAATAGGTAACTAAATAGGCAGTAGTGTAAAAGTGTATGTGAATAGGTGTTTCCCAGTACTTGGTTGCAGCCGGAAGGATATCTGCTGTGTTAAACATATGCTGGAATAATTGGCGGTTCATTCTGCTGTAGGAACCCCTGATAAATCAGGGACTAAGCTGAAGGATAGTGAGTGAGATAGGTAGGTAACTAGTCCTCTCATAATATTGATACAATATTATAAACTAACCTACATTTCCAATTTGTATGTAAAATGTTTGTTGCCAATTTTCTGAAAGTATCCAAGCAGCATCACGCCCTGTAATACTGTACAACATTGCTCATAAAGTCGGCTCATGTATCATCATCCTGACACAAACTCACAGCGTTCAGCATCAAGTTTTGTGGCCGTTAAATCAAAAACATCAGATGCTATTCACGTTCATACACTCTAATGATAATTCTGTAGGCCTGTCTGTCTTTATAAATAATGTTTATATATATATATATATATATATATATATATATATATATATATATATATATATATATATATATATATACATACACAGGGAAATACTTTTTAAAATAGTTTTTGTTTATTATTATTTTCTTATGACTCATCCGTTTTTCTTTATTTATTTATTTCCCTTTATATTAAGTCTGCATAATTAAGGGTGTGGCCACTTGAGTGAAAGCTAGGTCTCGCTGGTCTCCGTCTCCTCACCTCAGCTGATTCCGGCTGATTAGCTGCTGAACTCAATATATTTTTGTGTTGTTTATGCGGCTTTACACAGTCAGTTGCCTTTTGGAATTGTCTCCTACAAGAATCAGATGATATTGCATGCTGTGTGCACTTCACAAACCCTTCATGTGGCCTGCGTTTCCCAGGTGAGTGAAATATTTTATACATCATCTCTATAAATGTATTTGTTTTGTATAAGATCATTCATCATTTAAATGCTCTTTAGAGCTGTAATGTGCTACAGAATTTGTCAGATTGATTAGCTGCAGGCTCTAGATCAGTCATCTGAAGTGTTGTCATACAGTGTTATGCTGGAGTTCATCAATAGTCTTGTCTTCTTGTGTTAAGTCTTGTGTCCTTTATTTGTCCTTTGTTTATATGGTGCACGCTTGTTCAACACTTTGGTAAAAGCTTGTTGTCTTTAAAAGTGCTTTATAAATAAACATTGTCTTGACTTGTCATTGAATTATTAATCCTGTTTGCTTTTTGAGCACTGTTGAGCGAGTTCTTAAACACCTGTGATTGGTCATCGTGTTCCTCTACAGAGATGATGATGCTGATGACTGCGCTGATCACAGCTGACCCATGACAGACGCAGTGGAGAAAACTCATTCTACAGACAGCCTGGATCCACAAGCATCACCGATAGCTTACATTTAAATAGATTTGTCTTTTTTATTCAGAGTCAACTCATAGATATAATCATATAATCATTATCAATGTGCAGAAATGAATAAAATCACAAACCTTTTTTTTTGTTCATTATTCTTCTGCCAATCTACTGAAAGGGGCTCCACATTTGGTAACACAATATGTAACTGTCTGTTTGATATTGTAGAGTGGAGAATCATTTACCTCAGTGTCTCCAGTTTACAGTGTTGACTCTTCAGTCCATCAGAGAGCTTCTTCACTCCTGAATCCTGCAGGTCATTGATACTCAGGTCCAGCTCTCTCAGCACACAGTTTGAGGATTGTAGAGCTGAAGACAAACTCTCACAGCACACAACAGTGAGATTACAGCCCTGTAGCCTGTGTAGAGGACAAACACAATATTGATTGAATATTGTTGATCTGGTGTGTTTAATAGTCTGCAGTACATCTGACTGTAGCAGAGATGGCAAAAGTACACACATCCGTTACTTAAGTAGAAGAACAGATACTCATGTTTAAAACGACTCTGGTAAAAGTAGAAGAACTGACTACTCTTTTGTACTTGATTAAAAGTAAAGAAGTACTGTCTCAAACATGTACAAAAGTAAAAAAGTAAAAAGTAGCCATTTCAACCGGTCCAAAGACATGCAGTGTAGGTGAATAATGGGTAACTAAATAGGCAGTAGTGTATAAGTGTGTGTGTGAATGTGTGTTTCCTAGTACTTGGTTGCAGCCGGAAGGGTATCTGCTGTGTAAAACATATGCTGGAATAATTGGCGGTTCATTCTGCTGTGGCTACCCCTGATAAATCAGGGACTAAGCTGAAGGATAGTGAGTGAGATAGGTAGGTAACTAGTCCTCTCATACTATTGATACATTATAAACTAACCTACATTTCCAATTTGTATGTAAAATGTTTGTTGCCAATTTTCTGAAAGTATCCAAGCAGCATCACGCCCTGTAATACTGTACAACATTGCTCATAAAGTCTGCTCATGTATCATCATCCTGACACAAACTCACAGCGTTCAGCATCAAGTTTTGTGGCCGTTATCAAAAACATCAGCTGCTATTCACGTTCATACACTCTAATAATAATTCTGTAGGCCTGTCTGTCTTTATAAATAATGTCTTTCATTTAACTCTGAATTCTGCAGTGTAGATTTACTGTTGTTGATGGTGCTACAGTGCACGGTGCTCAGCTATAGCACTGAGTAAATAAGTAGAGCAATGACCAAGCAGTAATCTCCCACTCTCCCTCATGAAGCTAACACAGAAGTACCTGAAACTGCAATTCATGGAAACCCCGCTAGTCCTGGCTCCATATACAGCAGATTTCTATTGAGCCCACTGTTAAAATGGCCGACTTTACAGCAGGAATAAATGCATTTACAAAAACAAATACAAAGAACCATTTAGCTTCATATGGCTAATATTAGCCTTCATGATAACTGTGAGGGGGTGATGTTTTTATGACTCATCCGTTTCCTTTGTATTAGGTGATATTAAGTCTGCATAATTAAGGGTGTGGCCACTTGAGTGACAGATAGGTCTCGCTGGTCTCCGTCTCCTCACCTCAGCTGATTCCGGCTGATTAGCTGCTGAACTCGATGTATTTTTGTGTTGTTTATGCGGCTTTACACAGTCAGTTGCCTTTAGGAATTGTCTTCTACAAGAACCAGATGATATGGCATGCTGTGTGCACTTCACAAACCGTTCATGTGGCCTGCGTTTCCCAGGTGAATGAAATATTTTATACATCATCTCTATAAATGTATTTGTTTTGTATAAGATCATTCATCATTTAAATGCTCTTTAGAGCTGTAATGCACTCCAGAATCTGTCAGATTGATTAGCTGCAGGCTCTAGATCAGTCATCTGAAGTGTTGTCATACAGTGTTATGCTGGAGTTCATCAATAGTCTTGTCTTCTTGTGTTAAGTCTTGTGTAATTTATTTGTCCTTAGTTTATATGGTGCACGCTTGTTCAACACTTTGGTAAACACTTGTTGTCTTTAAAAGTGCTTTATAAATAAACATTGTCTTGACTTGTCATTGATTTATTATTCCTGTTTGCTTTTTGAGCACTGTTGAGCGAGTTCTTAAACACCTGTGATTGGTCATCGTGTTCCTCTACAGAGATGATGGTGCTGATGACTGCGCTGATCACAGCTGATCCATGACAGACGCAGTGGAGAAAACTCATTCTACAGACAGCCTGGATCCACAAGTATCACCGATAGCTTACATTTAAATAGATTTGTCTTTTTTATTCAGAGTCAACTCATAGATATAATCATATAATCATTATCAATGTGCAGAAACGAATAAAATCACATCCCTGCAATTTTTTTGTTTATTCTTCTTCTGCCAATTGACTGAAAGGGGCTCCACATTTGGTAACACAGTATGTAACTGTCTGTAGTTAGAGGAGAATCACTTACCTCAGTGTCTCCAGTTTACAGTGTTGACTCTTCAGTCCATCAGAGAGCTTCTTCACTCCTGAATCCTGCAGGTCATTGTTACTCAGGTCCAGCTCTATCAGCACACAGTTTGAGGATTGTAGAGCTGAAGACAAACTCTCACAGCACTCAACAGTGAGTTTACACCTGACCAATCTGTGAAAGAAGAACACATTACTAAAAACCACACAGTTAATGTGATCTGACTTATGTAACAAAGCAAAAAATCAATCAATCAATCAATCAATTAGATGCTTAAACTCAGACCTCAGTTTGTCCAGTTTACAGTGTTGACTCTTCAGTCCATCAGAGAGCTTCTTCACTCCTGAATCCTGCAGGTCATTGTTACTCAGGTCCAGCTCTCTCAGCACACAGTTTGAGGATTGTAGAGCTGAAGACAAACTCTCACAGCACTGAACAGTGAGTTTACAGCTCTGTAGGCTGTGAGGGAAAGCAGAAATATTGATTTTGCATTCATCTAGCAGGGGTAATCCAAAGCAGAGACAAAAACAATTGAATGGTGTGTATTAGTTTGAGAAAAGATAAAAATCGCTATATGGACTCTGTAAATAGTGAATTTTAGGGAGAATCATTAAAGCTCTCTCAGCACACAGTCTGAGGATTGTAGAGCTGAAGACAAACTCTCACAAGAATTGGTAGTGAGTTTACCCTGGACAAATCTGAGATATAAGGATTTGAATCAAATTTACAGTTTAATCTTTAGCCATTCATCTGATGTAAATAATAATTATAATTAATCAGTCAGTCAATCAATCAATCAATCAATCAATCAATCAATCAATCAATCAGGTGTTTGTGTTGCATATTTAGTTGATCATTATCTTGAGTTTAATTAGAGTAATGTGTTCATTATACAAGTAATAATTAAAGAGCGCTGGTCACTTTAAGAGTTTGGACAGACAGGATCACAAGTTTTTGTCAGAGTGTGACTTTTGTGGAACAGGAAAGAGAAGTACAACAATAGAAGTATAACAGTTCTAGTACATTTTGTGTCATCTTTACAAACATAACAGTTTGAACTCAGACCTCAGTGTCTCCAGTTTACAGTGTTGACTCTTCAGTCCATCAGAGAGAAGCTTCACTCCTGAATCCTGCAGGTCATTGTTACTCAGGTCCAGCTCTCTCAGCACACAGTTTGAGGATTGTAGAGCTGAAGACAAACTCTCACAAGAATAAGCAGTGAGTTTACACAGGACAAATCTGAGAAATAAGAAAACAAATCAAATTTACAGTGTATTTTTGTCATTCATTTCATGCAAATAATAATTATAATCAATCAGTCAATCAGGTGTTTGAACTCAGACCTCAGTGTTTCTAGTTTGCAGTTTGGTCTCTTCAGTCCATCAGAGAGCTTCTTCACTCCTGAATCCTGCAGGTCATTGTTACTCAGGTCCAGCTCTCTCAGCACACAGTTTGAGGATTGTAGAGCTGAAGACAAACTCTCACAGCACTGAACAGTGAGATTACAGCTCTGAAGGCTGTGAGGGGAAAAGAGAAATAATGATTTTGCATTTATCTATTAATCCAGAGCAGAGACAAAAACAATTGAATGTTGTGTTTTAGTTTGAGCAAAGGTAAAATCACTATAAGGACTCTGTAAATACTGAATTTAAGGGAGAATCCAAGGCTGTAAAATAAACATAAAATTATTCTTTAGCTAACAATTGACAGTTTTGTGTGATAATTAACTATTAGTTATCATTATTAAAAACTTTTTCCAAACTCATGTTAACATATTAGAGCTATCAGTTTTGAAATGAGATTATATTATTGTATTGTGTAAAAAGAGAGTCAAAGTATTGAAAAGAATGTCTGAAAGTGGAGTAAACATAAGCAGAACAGATATTGTGTACAGCAGGAGATCAGTGATACATGTTTGATGTGAAAGCACAAATAGTCTGTGCTGTTTCTGCTCTGCATGTATATGACTCATGGGCTGCAGATGTGTTGCAAATCGATGTGTGAAATGGGCATAAGTGTATCCAGAAAACTCTTACAGTGCTCTTGTGGTGTTCTTGACCACTGGCATCAGTCTCATCAGTGCTTCATCAGATCTTCTGTACTTCTGCAGTTCAAACTTCTCTTGAGTCTCTTCTGACATCAGGAGCACAAACACCAGACCCGACCACTGAGCAGAGGACAGATCCTGTGATGTGAGATTTCCAGAGCTCAGACTCTTCTGGAGGTCCTCCACAAAGTCATCCTTCAGTTCATTCAGACAGTGGAAGAGGTTGATGGTCCTCTCTGCTGATTTCTCCTCCTCTATTTTCCCTTTGATATAGTCTGTTGTGTCTTTGATGTTCTCAGTTTTGAGTTTCAGTCCTGGCAGGAACTTCTTCAGGTCACTCTGATTGGATTCCAGTGAGAGACCCAGCAGGAAGCGGAGGAAAAGGTCCAGGTGTCCATTCTTGCTTTGCAAAGTCTTCTTGACTGCATCCTTGTGAAGTTTAAACAGGTTCTTTGTAGAGAGTTTCCATGTCAGTTCCTTTTTCCTGGAATCAAGAAATGGATTTGCTTTCTTGTCTTTGTAAGTGAAAAACACATAGAGAGCAGCGATGAACTCCTGAACGCTGAGATGAACAAAACTGTACACCTGTTCCCCTGAGATGGGGTTTTCCTCCTGAAACATTCGAGTACATAATCCAGAGAACACAGACCCTTCCTTGACATCCAGCCCACACTTCTCCAGATCTGTTTTGTAGAAAATCAGTTGTCCTTCCTGCAGCTGTTCAAAGGCCAGTTTCCCCAGCTTCAGGACAATGTCTTTAAAAGACCAGGCCTTGGCGTCAGGGTCAGAATCGCTGCTGTATTTTTCTTTCATCTGTTGCTTTTGAGACAGTAAGTAGCTGCTGTACATCCCTGTGAGAGTTGTGGGTGTTTTGTCATTGTTCTCTTGACCCAGCAGAGGCTGAAGAACAGTGAGGGAGATCCAGCAGAAGACAGGGATGTGGCACATGATGTACAGACTCCTGGATTTCCTGATGTGACTGATGATGTTTCCAGCAACCTCAGCACTGCTGTTTTTGATGAAGTACTGCTCCTTCTGTTCATCATTGAATCCTCGCACCTCAGTCACCTGATCAATGTAGATTTGGGGTATCAGACTGGCTGCTGCTGGTCTGGATGTGATCCAGATGAGGGAAGAGCGAAGCAGCTCTCTCTTTAAGAGATGTGTTATTATCTTACTCACTGTCATTTCCTTATCAACATCTGTAAATCCATCCTCCTCTTTAAAGTTCAATTCAAAGCGATATTCATCCAGTCCATCAAAGATGAACATGACCTTGCCTTGTTTTTCAGGAAGAGAGCTCAGTCCTCCACTGCTAAAGAAGTACTTGTTAAGCAGACCTATGAGACTGTACTCTTTTTCTTTAATCAGATTCAGTCTACGGAACGGCAGTGGAAATATGAAGACTATTTCCTGATTGTCTTTTTCTTCAGCCCAGTCAAGGATGAATTTGTTGACAGAGACAGTCTTTCCCACTCCTGCAATCCCCAGTGTCAGGACTCTTCTGTTTTGTTGACCTGTGTCAGGCTGAACTTTAAACATGTCATTACACTTGATTGGTTTATCCTCGGCTGTCTGTTGGTTGTGTTTTGACTCTATCTGCATCACCTCATGGTCATTCTCTCTTCCTCCAGTCTCATTCTCCACCACATATAGATCAGTGTAAATATCATCCAGCTTCTTCTGGTGACCCGTCTGTGAATTACCAATCAATATCTGCTTATAGTCCTCCTTTAACTTCTCCTTTAGTTCACGGCTGGTGTTTGTGTAATCAACAGGAGGGGATTTACAGGTCTCTGAAGCTGCACCTTTACAAGAGAGAGGAACAATTAGTGTTTTTATTAAAGTGAATTATAATTATGTCCTGTGCTTTTCAATATAAAAAATAACAACAGCACTCATGAAGTCGTTTGTTTAATGATTTAAATGACGTGACACCTGTATGGTGTTGAATGAGCAGGGGTAGGTGATTTGACTTGAATCTTATATTGTTTTGATGTAAACAAAGTTGATTACTCAGAGTAATGCAGGATGTTTCAAAAATAATTCTCCAGAATTACAGTGTGTCTATTACAGGTTTTTGAATTACTGCTGATCATTTGATGTCTCAATGTTTCCTGACCTTTCAATTTATTTAGTTATTTTTATTTTTCCCCACAGGAACAACTATCTGCAAACAAAGCATGCACACAAATATAGAGATATTTTATTTTTAAAAGAATAAAAAATAAGTTTTTGTCCCCAGAAAAAGGCTTTTATTTGAAGAAGAAAAGCTGCAGGGGCTCAAGCCTTGCAAAGCGAGTTCCAAGGACAACTTCATTATTATTTAATACATGCACAGTGTGAGCCGGCTTTACAATGTGTTCTTGTTCCAGTAATGTTTATTTTACAACTGATCTTTGTTCTTGTTTTCCTTTGCTCAACTCTATTTTCCATCATTGTTTATTCTGTCTGTGCAAATGAGTAGTAAATTATTGTTTTGATAGTTTTATCTGTGGAGGTCTTCTCTCTTTGTAAAGTATAAATTGTGTAAAAGGCTTGATAGAGATCTTGCAGTTATGATTCTGCTAATGCTCAGTTATTTTAACAGCCATGCAGACTCCTGATGACAGAAGATGAGGGAACACTACAGAAACCCAATTCACACACACACTTTAGTGAGAGTAGTATTCATTTATTAATTCAGTTTCTTTTCGGCTTAGTCCCTTCATTAATCTGGGGTCGCCACAGCAGAATGAACCGCCAACTTATCCAGCACATGTTTTACGCAGCTGATGCCCTTTCAGCTGCAATCCATCTCTGGGAAACATCCATACACACTCATACACTACAGACAGTGTGAGCTGGCTGTACAATGTGTTTCTGTTTCAGAAATGTTTGTTTTACAGCTTATTCTAAGCTTCTTCATTCTTGTTTTACTTTGTTTATTAACATAGATATGCCTTTTGCTTCCCAATACAAAAAATAACAATTGCACATATAAAGTAACAAATTCAGATGAACGAAGACAAACAATATATTCACACACATTAGCTATATACAAAATATTAAATGTATTTAAATGCATTGCTTAGAAGCAGTTCAATAAATGTTATGACAATATATCTGACTCAAAAACCATTGCTAGGACAGGGTTTTAACATGAAAGATTTTAACTGAAAATGATCACATTTGTAAAGTTTGACAGGGAATTAAACAATACCTTGCTTCTGTGTATTCTCCAGATCTTCAGCCAATTGATTCTGGTTTATTTTCCTCAGGGTGTCCACTGTGATCTTCACAGCTCTTTCTAATCCAAAACATGACACCAACTTATCAACGGTATTTCGCCTGTCTGCATTCTCCATTTCAGCTTTTGAAATCTCTCTATGGTCATTCATTAAATGCCACTGAAAGTCCTTTAGTGTATCTTCTACCAGTTCATCCAGGGATTTCTTGAGCAGCTGTTTTACATTCGCCATCGTGCTTCACCCACTCACAGCTACAGGACAAGAGCAACAACATCTGCATTAGTTTTACAATTAACATATGGACCTGAGCATTTATTTATAAACTGAAAAAGGAAATTAACCAGTGAGAAACTTCACATATCAGAAAGCTAAATATTGAAAATTGACTGTCACTACTTAAAGTGGACAAAAAAAGTGGAATTATTGCTAAAAAGTGAACACTGAAGAAACTGACCACTAATTTAATATAAAAGCTCTTGGAACGCAGTTGTACATGCTCAGAATCCACTGAATCATGTTGTTTTTATTGTGACACACATGGCCAACTCGACCTCAGTTTATGCTGTTTAATTCAGACATGGGAAAAGAACTGGAAAATCATTGCAGCAGCTTGAGAATGTTCTCGAGTAGCAAGAATTATTGTCCATATTTGTTATAAAGCTGGTAGAGCAGGCATTCATCCGGCACTGGCTTACAGCATGTGGGCCAAACATTGGCCAGGTTTGGCAGAGGTGGCACCATCTTTAAGGCAGCATGCAAGACATGGGCCAGATGTCAAATGTAGTATTTGGGCCAGATGTTATAAATGGCAGTGCGAGTTTTCTGTATTCTGTAGCTTTTTTAAGGGCACACTCACACTATGCTATGCGAACTGTGCCAGGCCTGTTTCCTGTTTTGACTGTGTTCCACTGCATATCAAAACACTAAAACAATATAACTAAAGAAATGTCCACAGTGCTGAGCTTAATAAACACTCATAAGCACAGATTTCAGTATCAGAATGAGAAGGTTTCTGCTTTCTGTGATCCTCCTCCAGAAACACACTCGACATTAAAAAGTGTAAATGAAATCCTCAGAATGTTTTCAGCTCAGCAGTAAAGTCTCAGAAACACAAAGAGATGATCGACGGATAATCAGGCGACACTTATAGATGATATAAAGCACAGAAAGAGCAAACTCTCACCTCAAATAATGCCTGCAGATCTTCCTGTTCCTCCGCTGAACTGTTGAGCTGAACAACACATCTGAAAACTCTTTCACCTCAGGAAAACACATCACATCCTGTTTAAGACATGAGGAAATAACCAGTCAGATGAAAAACCAAGACACACAAGTAGATAAGTGTAGTGGCAATTTTCTTTAAGGGGGCTCTCTCAGTGGTCAATAAGACAAATTCTTACCCAAAGTGTTTTTTAAAGTTTTATTCTTTGCAAAGAAGGTCACACAGTCATATGTCAACAACACTTTCTGCAGAGAGAAAGATGCGGAAACAGAGCGCGTTCTCTTTTTATTGAGTTTGTAATACCCACAAGGTCATCAGTGACATACAGGATAAATCACAGTTACATCAGCACTTCATTTTTGAACATTTCAGCCTTACATCCTATCCGAACATGTAGTTTGTTAAATCACCATGTACTTATCCAGATCTTGTCTGGTGATACACATATGTTAAAGTGGTCACACTTGATCTAACTTAAACAGTACATCCATGGAAGAATAAAAGAACAGACCATCATATAAATGAATTTCCACCACAATTTCTCTCTTTTTATCATTCATGGATAACACTAAATACATTATATACTAGTTTCATAATCACAATGTTAATCATTTAACAGGTTTCTGCACACTCCATATACACTAGAGATGTTCAAACACTCTTCTTAATATAGTTTATGTCAGGGTAGAAAGGGAACAGATTCAATAGCAGGTGAAACAATTGTATTCTTCTCAAAAAAACACAAAATATCCTCAAAAGGCAGTTCAAAACTCAAAAAGCTGGACTCAGAAATCGGCGCCGTTCTGGGCTCTACCACCAGATGGCAGGAGAGCGCTCCCAAGGCTTCACTGGGCAGCAGAAGGAGAGATGAAAAGAATCAGGTGAGTTCCGGATATTACCGCCAGGGGGCGATAGAGCGATACCAAACGCTCGGCCAGCACCGGAGAAGAAGAGCCTTACGGGGTACTGCTGGGCGTTCTCCCTTGGTGGAGATTCAGTAGCGAGAATGGGACAGCCAGACCAAACCACAGCGAGCCGGATGACAGGACAAAGTATCAAAATAAAGGAGGGAGAGAAAAAAACGAAACCAAAACAAGCAGGAGCTTGGAGTCTGGGGAAACAGGACACGACAAGACAGATTACTCACAATAGATATTAACGTACAAGCCTCATGAGCATGCAAAACGGACTGACGAAAGACAAGAGACAAGAGGAGACTAAATAGGGGAGAAATCAAGCAGCAACAGGTGAAGGAGAGGATCGCAAATTGATTACCAGGTCTCTAAGGCGGGAAAACAAAAAGCACGCGGACAAGAAGCACGTGGCCAGCTGTCAAAACAAAACCCACGTGCTCCAAACACACAAAGACAACGCAAACAGGTAAGTCATTCCATACTCTTAACAGTACCCCCCCCCCTCCCAGGGGTGCCACCTGGCGACCCCAGAAGGGCCTCACCTCGCCGCCGATGGAAGTCCACGATCAACGACCGGTCCAAGATGTCCCGTGCCGGAATCCAAGCCCTCTCCTCCGCACCATAGCCCTCCCAGTCCACGAGGTATTGGAAACCCCGACCACGACATCTCCGGTCAAGGAGTCTCTTCACAGTATAGACCGGAGTGCCGTCCACTAGACGAGGGGGAGGTGGAACCGGGGAAGCAACAGGGTTGAGTGGGGATTGGATAACAGGCTTTACCCTGGATACATGAAAAACAGGGTAAACCCGACCAAGACTGCAAGGAAGCTTGAGCCGAACCTCCACTGGACTCAAGACTTTAGTGATTTGGTATGGCCCAATGAACCTGGGTGCCAGCTTGCGAGAAGGCACACGGAGAGGCAGGTCCCTTGTAGACAGCCAAACCTTTTGACCACAAACAAAAAGGGGAGCAGGAGTCCGGTGACGGTCAGCCGCCCTCTTAGTCCGTCTGGAAGCCTGGGCCAAGGCCTCCTTAGCCCTCCTCCATGTGTGAAGACACCTTCGGACAAAGGCCAAGGCAGACAGAACAGCGCCATCGAGTTCCTGAGCGGGGAACAAAGGGGGTTGATAACCAACAGAACATTGGAAAGGGGACATACCTGTAGAAGCTACCGGCAGGGAGTTGTGGGCATATTAAATCCAAGACAACTGCTGGCTCCAAGAGCCTGGATTTTGAGACACCAGACAGCGGAGACTTCTCTCAAGATCCTGATTGGCTCGTTCAGTTTGCCCATTGGGTGAAAACCTGAGGACAAACTCGTAGAGGCCCCGATCTGTCTACAGAACTCCAAAACCGAGAGACAAATTGGGGTCCTCTGTCAGAGACCACATCCACCGGAAGGCAATGAATCCGGAAGACGTGGTCAACTACCACCTGAGCAGTCTCCTTGGCTGATGGGAGTTTGGGTAAAGGGATAAAATGGGCCGCTTTAGAGAAACGGTCCACCACTGTTAAGATTACAGTGTTACCTCTCGATGGGGGTAGGCCAGTGATAAAATCAAGAGCCACATGTGACCAAGGTCGAGAGGGAATGGGAAGGGGACGTAACAGACCAATGGGTGGCCGATTAGATGTCTTATTCTGGGCACATACAAAACAAGCCAATACAAACTGTCTGACGTCTTGGGCCATTGAAGGCCACCAAAATCGCTGTTGGATATTGACCAGCGATCTCCGGACTCCTGGGTGACAGGCTACTCTGGACTCATGACCCCACTGGAGTACTTCAGATCTTAAACTCGCTGGCACAAATAGCCTTCCCTCTGGACACCCTTCTGGAGCTCCCCCTCCTCGCACGGCCTCCTCTACCCGCCGTTCGGTGTCCCAGGAGAGAGTTCCCACCACCACCTATCTAGGAAGGATGGCTTCGGGGGTAGCCTCTCCTCCTGGTACTTAAAACAGGCGGGAGAGTGCATCAGGCTTTATATTCTTGGACCCAGGCCGGTACGAGAGGGAAAAATTAAAGCGTCCGAAGAAAAGTGCCCATCGGGCCTGACGGGAACTCAATCTCTTGGCTGAACGGATATATTCTAGATTTTTGTGGTCCGTCCAGACCACAAAAGAATGGATCAAGAACGGTTGTGCCGCCCCCTCCAACCAGTGGCGCCACTCACCCAGGGCCAGCCTGACCGCCAGCAGCTCTCTGTTACCTATGTCGCAGTTTCGTTCGGCTGGGCTCAGAAGGTGAGAGAAGAAGGCACACGGATGCACCTTCCCATCCCTAGAGGACCGCTGAGATAAGACCGCGCCTATCCAGACCTCCGAGGCATCCACCTCAACGATAAACTGCCATTTAGGATCTGGAAGACAAAGGACAGGAGCAGTGATGAAACGGTACTTGAGAACATCAAAGGCCTCCTGTGCCTGACTGTGCCATATAAACGGTACCTTAGGTGAGGTGAGAGCCATTAAGGGTGCAGCGACCGAGCTAAAGTTCCGGATGAACCGTCTATAGAAGTTGGCAAATCCAAGGAACCGCTGCAGAGCCTTACGAGAGTCAGGGACTGGCCACTTGGCAACGGCCCTTACCTTAGCGGGATCAGCCTTAATACCCTCTGTCGAGACAATATGCCCCAGGAACGAAACGGACTTGCTGTGGAACACGCACTTCTCCGCTTTGACATACAGCTGGTTTTCCAGCAGCCGCTGTAGCACCAGGCGGACATGCTGAGTGTGTACCTGTTCTGACTCAGAAAAGATAAGAATATCGTCAAGGTACACAAAGACAAATCTGTTTACCATGTCTCTCAGCACATCATTCACCAGGGCCTGGAAGACTGCAGGGGCATTGGTGAGCCCGAAGGGTAGAACTCGGTATTCAAAATGCCCCGTTGGTGTGTTGAACGCAGTCTTCCACTCATCCCCCTCACGTATCCGGATCAGGTGATAGGCATTACGGAGGTCTAGTTTAGTAAAGACCTTGGCTCCCTGCAATAACTCAAATGCAGAAGACATTGAAGGCAGAGGATACCTGTTCTTAACAGTAATGTTATTAAGGCCTCTGTAGTCAATACAAGGGCGCAGAGAACCATCCTTCTTTTTAACAAAGAAGAACCCAGCCCTGGCTGGAGAGGAAGAGGGACGAATAAGGTTGGCTTCTAAAGACTCTCGGATATACCTGTCCATGGCCTCTCTCTCAGGAGCAGAAAGGGAATGCAATCGACCCTTTGGCGAAGAAGTGCCTGGGAGGAGTTTGATGGCACAATCGTATGGCCGGTGCGGAGGCAAGAAAGTGGCTCGAGACTTGCTGAAGACCTGGGGAAGATCATGGTACTCCACCGGGACTCCAGAGAGATCCACCCTCTCCATCTGAAACACATGAGACACAGAACCAGGACACGGAGCAGGACCAAGACAAACAGCAAGACAAGACTGACTCCAAGACAACACAGAATTCCCTGACCAATCAACATGAGGGTTGTGTTTACTTAACCACGGGTGCCCCAATACCACTGGAGCACTCGGGGAGTCGAATAAATAAAAAGTAATAACCTCACGGTGATTTCCAGAGACTATCAAACTTACAGAGGGGGTAGAGTGGGTGATGGATGTAATGGCAAACCCATTAAGGGAGCGCACAGTGATGGGAGAGGAGAGAGGAATGGCTGGGATACCCCAAGATCTGGCTGTGGTGCTGTCCAAAAAGTCTGCCTTAGCTCCAGAGTCAAGCAAGGCAGGACAAGAGTGAGTCAATCCATTGAACTGGACTGAGACTGGGAGACAGGTGCGTTGTTTGGGGGTGTCGAAACAAGAGAGAGTGCCCACCAGAATCCCCCGGTTTACTGATGGGCTGGAGCTTTTAAAGGACACTGCAATGCTCGGTGACCCGGCTTCCCACAGTACAGGAAAAGGCCTCGAGCCAGACGAAGCCGCTTCTACTCAACAGTCAGTCGAAGACAACCTAATTGCATAGGCTCTGGTGAGGTGGTAGGTAATGGGGTGCAAGGATCACTTGAAGGGCCCTCATTCATCCATGAGGCACCAGAGACTCGTCTATGCTGGCGACGATGCAGTCGGGCCTCCACCCGAAGAGCGAGATCCACCAGGGCATCAAAGTCTCGGGGA